GTCTCAAATTACCACTCCTTTCTAGCAGTTTCTATATCTGCAAAACTCAAGCAACTTAGCAACCAGAGGCCAAAATAAACTAGTTCTGTTCCTATCCAGGACCCACAGCTCTGGATGTAAATCTGTGAGCCACTCTCCCTAACCCACATACCGCTCCAAATTCCCTATGTTATTCACACATCCTTCAAGACTTGGTTCTGTTTATCACTTCTCAGACCTTTCAGTAACTAATGACAAACAAACTTCATTTGAGCACAGGAGCAGATTCTGCGAAACTTCATCAAACAAAATCATCCTCTTCTCTTAGCCAAGGGGGTTGCAGGGCAGGGAAAACCTGGGGCTAAGTCTTTGTCTCATTTCTGGATGCCAAAGCCCAGATTCCCGGGTCTACAAACACTTCGAAGAGGCTGCTGAAGTTGTCCGTTTCTTTCTGAGGAAATAATCTTTTTAAAAAAGAATCCAGCCCAAGTCTCCTGGCCTGCTTACCCAGCTCCCTGACATACGTTCCTTCCTGATTCATGCCTAAGTCTTTCCATTTTGCTTTTTTGTTTTTTCTCCTTTGCTTGTCTGTTTTATTGGTTTTCTGCAACATCGCAGATTGCATTTTGGGGACTTGAGCCCCAGTGTGCTGTGATGTTGTCATAAACAACCAGGACCAAATGCCTAACCATAATATTAGATGATGCCATTTCCCACCAATCAGGTCTTGCAGGCAGGGAGACCACTCACCAATGAGGGACAAGGCGCTGGAAGGGAGACAGACCTGGTCATCTGGAACTAAAAATAAGACCGCCTCACAATTGGCCCAGGCTACTTTGCAACAGGAGTTGGGACAGACACATATACACACCACAGGCACACAAGTAAAAGCAGTACACAGGCAAAAAACTTTCACATATGAAAAGGAAGTCCATTTTTGTTCCCTTTAAAAAAAAATTTTTTTGCCATTTGCTGACTTGATAAAATAAAGTAAAATAAAATAAAAAAACTGTACCAGAGATAATCACTCCCCCACTTTTCCCCTTTGAGACAACTACCCCACCCCATTCCCATTTTTAAAAGATTGCGTAAAAAGATCATCATAAGGGGTCCAGGACTGAAGGTGAACACTGGGGAAGGAAACCATCCCCCACTTGGAGCTCATGGGTCCTCAGGGCCACTCACCTGACCAGCAGTGTCATAGAGTCCCAAGAGATACTGCTTGCCACCCACGGTCACGCTGACTGCAAAGGGATAAATGGGGGGGGGGGGAGTTGGGAAATGGGGGAAAGAGGAAAAGAAGGGGAGGAAGAAATACAAAATGACCCAAGTCGTATCACTTTCCTTTTTCCAGTAAGGCTTCTCTCAACCTGAAGGGGTTTGTTGGAAAGGGAGGGGAGCTACTTAAAAGCTATTACCTTATCTATCCCCTACCCCTAACATCTGAAAAGTAGGGGGAAATTAAGGCTTGCTCTGTCCCCAACTGCCCAGCAATGACAGTTCCTTTCCCCCCTCCCAACAAGTACCACTTCCTTGACCCCTTCTCTTCCATCTGAGGCCAAGGGAACTGGGGGCAGAGTCGGACGGGGGTGCCTGGCACCAACCAGAAGGTCAAGCTAGTTGGACTGGTTGGGAAAAGACTTGGGAGCAGTGGGAGAGGATGTCAACCCCTAGTTTGGAGAAGATAGGAGCTCGGGCTAAGACGAAAGGTTTCTGGGGTGCCTAAGAACCTTAAGGACGTGAAGGACTCCGGGGAAAGGACGCAGGTGCCAAGACAGGAGTTAAGAGTTGGAAGCGGGAGTAGGGCGGGGGTGCAGGACGCAAGGGGAGATGGAGAGGGGCTGGCCAGCCTGGGAGGGGAGCTTCCAAAGTTGTGCCAAAGTTGTCACTGCCCAAAAGAGTGGGCTGGGGGTGGCGGCCCCTTAGTCAGCAGTTCCGGCTACCGGGCCACCAGACTCTCACCTGCATAGTGGTCAAAGACAGTGGGGACGTACTCCTCGGGGAAGGCGTCGTTGGCGTAGCTCATGAGCAGGCACGTCTTGCCCACCGCCCCGTCGCCGACCACCACGCACTTCAGCATCAGCGCGCCGGGCCCGTGAGCCATGCTGCGCCCGGCCGGCCTCCGGGCATGGTCCCCCCGGAGCCCCCGCCCCGGCCCCCGGCTCAGCCCCAGCCCGCCTGGGGGCTCAGCCGCCGCCTCCTCGGCTCAGCACAGCAGGGGGAACACCCCCGCCCCATGCAGCGGCTTCCCCCCAGGGAGGGGGCGGCGGGCCCGGGGCGCTGCTGCCACTGCCGCCGCCGCCGCTCCGGTCTCCACCCCCTCCTCCTCCTCCTCCTTCTCCGGCGCCGCCGCCGCCGCTGCCGCTGGGCCCCCTGCTCTTCTAGCTCAGAGCCCTCACCCTCTCCCGAGGATACAATGTATCATAAGACTGTTGGGTCCCCGGGGCAAACAGCAACTTTGGGGAGGGGAGGGGGCGGAGGAGGAGGAGGCCGCTCTCCCCGCCCCCTAACCCCCCTGCCCCCACCCCTCTGGGCTCGGCCGCGGGAGGGGGGGAGCGGTGGGCGGTATAGAGAGGGAGAGGCCCTCCCAATAAGTGCTCTACCACTTTACTTTGGGGCCCTCCTCTCCCTCTTCTCTCTGCCGCCGCCGCCTCTCTCTCTCTCTATCTCTCCTCCCCAATCTCTTTCTCTCTTCCTCCCTCCTTCCCTCGCCCCCTCCCGAACCGGAGCTCCAGTCCTGCAAGCTCACCCTAGCTTGGCTCCCTGAAAGGGGAGGGGGGGTGAGGAGAAGAGGAGGAGGAGCTGAGGGGGAGGGAGGGGTGGGAGAAGTGAAGGAAGGGAGGATGGGGGGGGGGAGAGAATAGCTGTAGAGCAGCCGAGGGCTCCTCGTGAAAGAGCCCGCTGCTCCCAGAAGCGTCCAAGGGTGTATCATGCCTCCGACGGGAGTCTTTTAGCAGCCAGGACGACGCAATAATAATTTGGGGGAGCGGGAGATGGAAGGGGGAACCTAATAATGTTTTAAAATGCACTTAGAAGGTGGAATCTTTTATGCATCCTAGAACATACTTGGAGATTTGAAAGCAGGAAGAAAAAGAGGTTAGGCCAGGAGTTTAAAAGCCTGAGCTGAAAGCCAAGGACTGCTTAGTTCTATGGTTCCGCCCCTACTCCTCCCCACCCCACCTCCACACACACATACTTTCACTGCACCAGTAGGAATGAATCTTTTACAACGTAATAGGTGACCAAGGGGAGTTTACGGAACCTTCATTTAACAACAAAAACAAAAGCTGTAAAAACAAATAGGAGACCAAGACCCTTATTTGGTCTTAAATGCCACAAGTTAATATATGCCTGAAGGCAGGGGAATGGATGGAATAACCTATCATGGTCCCCTTCTGGCCTCAAGGGTCCATGAAAGGTAACCTTTCCTGCAGAAGGTTTTACATGATGTCACTCCCCTCTTCAACAGCATTGGACTTTAATTGAGTTTACATTTTCTGAACCTCCGTTTCCTGTCCATGGCGGGGTTTGATGGCTTGGGTCTTGCTGGCTAGTCATTTCCTCTTTTCTCAGAACATGTTTTAGAAGAAACAGATAACAAGCGTTGTTATGAACACTGGGCACTGAGGGAGGTGACCATGCCTGTCCCCTGCGTGGTCCCAGGGTGCTGAAATGAGTTCAGCTTTGTCTGTTCATTTATTTGCTCACTCATGCATCCTGGCCATGGCTTCACCTAGGTTCTGAAGGGTTGTTGAGGTGTGACGTCTGCTGTGAATGGATAATCTGTAGAATCCATGAATGGATTTTTGGACAGTGAGGGTGATTGAATCCTGGATGGAACCGAGTGAAGGAAGGGGTAAAATCTTACCTCATTTATTCATTCAGTCATTCAACAAGTATTTGTAGAACTCTACTAGATGTAAACCACAATTCTAGATACTGAAGGGCAACTAGGTGGCACAATGGATAGAGGACTGGATCTGGAATGAGGAAGACACATCTTCCTGAGTCCAAATCTGGCCTCATACATTTACTACATTTACTGTGTGACCCTGGGCAAGTCACTTAACCCTATTTGCCTCAATTTCCTCATCTGTAAATGAGCTGGAGAAGGAAATGGCAAACCATCAGTATCTTTGCCAAGAAAACCCAAAAATGAGGTCATGAAGAACGGGGCACATGGGGCAGCTAGGTGGAATAGTGGATACAGCACTGGCTCTGAAGTCAGGAGGACCTGAGTTCAAATCCAGCCTCAGACCAAACACTTGGCACTTACTAACTGTGTGACCCTGGGCAAGTCACTTAACCCCAATTTCCTAAAAATTAAAAAAATTTTTTAAATAGAAAAAAAGAATTGGGCACAACTGAACAACAGCTAAGTACTGGGAAGAAAAGGAAGGTTAAGGGTTTTAGGAGTCCCAAAGATAGATAGGAATAGGAAGAACACATGAACCTCAAGGTCCTCAAGGGCTGATACCCTAGTTCATTAGCTCATACAATCACAAATGTAGACCAGAAGAGACCCTAGAAATAACATAGTCCAACTGCCTCTTTTTACAGATTTGGAAACTGAGGGTGAGGAAGCTTAGCTTGCCTAAGGTTACACAGCTGGCAATCATCAGAGACAGAATTTGAAACCTGACTCCGCCAGGTTCCAAATCCCAAAAAACACATAAAAAGTTAATAATACTAGTCAAATAACAATGTAAAATGGCTTCAGAAGAGGTGTCACAAAGAAGCATATGATTAAGTGCCAAATGAACCGTCTAAACGGTAAGTATGAACTCAGAGCAGAGGAGAGCTCATTCTGGTTTGCAGGGGTCAGGGAAGGTTCCAAAGGACCTGTATGGGGTTTAGGAGGAAAGTAGGATTGGAATAGTTAGAGATGAGGCTGAGTATTGTCAGAAGATAGTTTGGAGGCCGGCCTGGCTACAATGTTAGCATTCTTATTTACTGAGTGCCCTCACCTTGAAAGACAGGTTTGGTGATTTAGACACAGTCCCTGAATCGTGGAACTTAGAGTCTAATTAGGAGATAGAATGAGGCTTACAAAAGCGACAGGACATAGTTGATATATACAAGGCAGCATAGAAATTCATTGTCCATAACAAGGCAACAGGCAATTGCCCTGGGAAGGGGTAATGTACTGGTCAAATTGGCTGTGAATAAATCCAGGAAGATATAATTAATCCAGGTAGGTTCCCTGGGGAGGTTGGACTCTGAGGTGGATATTCAGGGTTGGAATACAGGCACAAAATAGAGGAAACAGAACAGTGGAGGGGAGTGTGGAGGAGAGATAAGAGGAAAGGCCATCAGGAGGGGCTAAAGAGAAATAAGTGCTAGGAAAAGGGAGCTGTCAAGCTCCTTAAAACAGAGCAAGTGGATGAAGGAGTTACCAGAGATAAGGGGAGATCTTTAGGAAGAACAGAAAAGACTTGCAACTGTTACTGAATACTAGAGATAGAGACCTGACTAGAGCCAGGAACGGAAGAAATGGCTTGTTGAAATCTCTCTAAGGAGTCTGCGATTCCATTTCCCAAGCTCGTTTTTTTTTCCTAAAAAAGAGATATATCCCCTAAATGACACTTTCCCTTCGGGAATAAGGGGGTGGGGAGAGGCACTGAGGATAAGGTTGTTTGTTCTATGGTTGCTTGTTCTCTCAGAAAAAGCAGCCTTGGAATTCTGGAGTGAAGAATGCACCCGGGGAAAGGTTCTGGTAATGTCAGAGAATTTAAGCAGGGAACTGATGTCAGAGGAATGATGCAGCTGATGATTTCACTGGTAAAGATGACCTCATTGCTTTGGCTCATGGAAATGCCTGGATTGATTGCCAGGAATACATAGGGTTTGGGGATCCATCTAATACAGTGAGGGGTTAATCTCTTGTTACCTAGAACCACAGGGCCTGCAAAGTTAGATACCACTTGCCTCTGGTAACTATGCAAATATAGTCATGCACACAGAACTTACTGCACAGAAGCTTGATTTGTCACGGTCTCTGGCTCCAAACTGGAAAGTGTCCTAGGGAGAACATAGTTCTCAAATATGAAGAGTAAGAAATAACTTTGTTTCTGTGAGAGATAACTTTATTTCTGACGACCTAACATGATTTTTTTTTTGCCTGTCTAATACCGACCATCCCACACCCATCCAAGTGCTTCACTAATAATAAATAAGATAAGACAAGAATGATCTCTTAATTACCAAAATGAATGGGTCTCCCTCCTCTCCTTGCGCCCTCCCCCCCCCACCCAGCCTTCATCATTTTCTGCCTGTCTGCTGCCCGGAAACTAATGATCAGCCTCTCCTGGATACTGTCTCCTCTCTGGGTTTTTGTGACACTACTGTCTCTTTCTCCTTTCTCTGGTTCATAGTCTGTTCATAATCCTCATTAGACCTCACCCTCACCCCCAAGTATGGATGTTCCCCAAGGCACTGTCCTAAACACCCTACTCCTCACTTTATACTCTCTAGATGTCCTCATTTGTTTCCATAGGTTTAATGATCATCCCCATGCAGGTGACATACAGAGACAGAGACAGAAAGAGAGGTATGTATGTTTATATACACACATATACAAATAACCTATATATACATACATATATAAAAGCTAATAATAATAATAGCTCATAGTCATATAGTGCTTACTATATGTTAGGTACTATGCTAAGTACTTTATAATTATTATCTCATTTTATTTTCACAACAACCCTGGGAGGTAAGTACTATTATTATTTTTTACAGATGAGAAAGCTAAGGCAAACAGGTTAAATGACTTGTCCAGGGTCACACAGAATACACTATACCTAAAGCTTTAAACTGCACTGAGATTTTTGGGACACCCTGTATATGCACATATATACATTTGCATCTAGGCATATGTGTGTGTATATCTCCAACTCCAGTCTTCCCAGAGCTTCAGTCCTTCATCACCTTTTGTCTATTGGGTATCTCAAACTAGATGTCCTGAAGACATCTCAAAATTAACATGTCCAAAACTGAATTATGATTTCCCTCTCCAAATCCAGTTCTCTTCCAGACCTCCCTATTTCTGCCAAAGGTACCATCATTCTTAGTATTATCTTAGACTCTTCATGCTCTCTCAACTCACATATCCCATCAGTTGCCAAATCTTGCTGTTTTGATCCCTACAGCACTTCTCACATCTTGACCCTTTTTTTCTATTCACTCAGCGACCTGCTTGGTGCAGGCCTCCATCAACTCTCATCTAAACCCTTGTAACAGCCCTAGTTGGTCTCCCTGAATCAGGTGTCTTCCCATTCCAACCCATCCTACACACTACTGGGGCAGGGTGGGGGAAGGGAAGAGAAAGGAACAATCATTTAGGTAGCTCCTACTATGTGCTAGGCAAGGTGCTAAGTGCTTTGCAGATATTATCTCATTTAACCACAATAATCCTGGGGATAGGTGAAAATTGTTATCCTTATTTTACAGATGAGGAAACTGAGGCAAACAGAGGTTAAGTGACTTGCCCAGGGTCACACAGCTAGTAAGTTGTCTGAAGCTATATTTGAACTCAGGTCTTCCTGACTGTACACCCAGCACTCCACCTACTTCGACATCAAGCTACCAAAGTAATTTTCCTTACAGGTAGATTTGACCCTTCCTTCCTTACTCAATAAATTTCTGTGGCTTCCCTATTGCCTCTTGAATCAAATATAAATTCCTAGAGACAGCTAGGTAGTACAGTGTATAGAGTGCTGGGCCTGGACAGGATAGACCCAAGTTCAAATCCAGCCTCAAACATGTATTAGATGTGTGACCCTGGGCAAGTCATTTAACCTTGTTTGCCTCAGTTTCCTCATCTGTAAAATGAGCTGGAGAAGGAAATGGTGAACCACTCCAGTGTCTTTGCCAAGAAAACCAAGAAAATGGCATCATAAAGAGTCAGATAGCCCTGAAAACGACTCAGCAACTACAACTCCTACCTACATTGTGCCATCCAGCCAAATTGACCTTCTCACTCTTCTACACACATAGCATTCAATCACCTATCTTTGACTCTTTACTGATTGTCCCCCATACCTTGAGGGCACTTGTAGGACTATTGATTCAGAGCTTGAATCTCTAAGAACCTTAGAGACCACAGAGTCCAAACCCCTCATTTTACAGATGAAGAAACTGACACTCAGAGGGTTTAAATGAATTGCTCTGGCACTAGCTAAAAAACAGCAAATATCTCAGACTGGATTTGAACCCAGGTTATCCTTCAAGCTACAGCTCAAGCAGCGCCCTCTACACAGTCTTGCCTGCTCTTCTCAACTGCTATGCAATTCCTACTTTGCATTTAGTCTCTTTACACTCATTCTGTATGTATTGTGCCCTATCCTTGTAGTCTCACCCTTTAGAGCATAATCTTTCAAGTAGGGATTATTTCATTCATTGGGTTTGCATCTTGAGCACTTATTAGCTGCTTAATGCATATTGGTTGATCTATAGAAGAAGAATTTCTTCTCCTTCCCTCTCTTTCACTTCCGTAACTCTTTTTTTCTTCCCATTCGTCCTTCTTTTCCTCTTTGCCATCCCTCATCCTTCTGTTTCTTTCTTCCTCCGCTTTCTGCTTTTCCCTCCTTCCGTCCTTTTTATCTTCCTTTCTCTCTTCCTTTTCCTTCTATCTTCCTTCTCATCCTCTCCTCTTGTTAATGCATTATCTTACTCAGATCCTTTCTCATTCCATTTTTTCCCCTCTTTCTGCTACTTTCCACTCTTATTTCTCTCTCACACTCCCTCTCCCCACTCTCCTCCCCGCAAAGGAACTCTGCTTCCCAACAAAGTTACAGAGCTAGAGAATTATCCTCACTCTGAGAAACTATATTGTTGTCTTCCTGATATCCCAGACCCTATCCTCTCTAACTACTATCATCCCAGGCTGCCTTGGAAAGGATAGATTTCAGGACAGAGATAAATAGTACAGACAATAGGATTGATATGACTAAAGGAAGGGGGGCATTGTGCAGAGGGAAAGAATTCAGGCCATAATCCAAACTTAGTTGTTCCTAAACTCATTCAGTAAGTAAATGAGGTCTTGGTCTATTGACCATGGGATGGGCCAACCCATTGGATGGGCAAGATTTGATTTTTACCTTTGTGCAGCAGGAGAGAATAATGGTTCCCACTCATGAGGAAAAACCAGTTTGATGGAGGAAACGACAGTCTAAATTGCTTCTGTCTTGAATCTAGTTGGGGAAATAAGACTTAATGAAGTAAAATAATAAGAAATTGTAAACTCCTTGAGGGCAGGCAAGGATTTGAGCTTACAAATGCTCACCTTTGTAACCTCAGTGCCTAGAATAGTGCCTTGCACATTGGTAGACACTTAATATATGCTTGTTGCTGAATTAAATTGAATTTGTAGCAGTGACAGCAGTTTGAGACTGAGAGTAATTAATCTAATGCCAAAAGGTTCAATTCACCCCTGTCTGTGGCACAGAGTCACATTCTAACAACTCATTTCATCTTAGGTGCTTTGAAATCCACTTCCCCATTTCCTTTTATGCCTTTCTATTTTTAAAGCCAAACCACATTCAGACAACTAACTTTAGTTTATATCTTTTTTAAAAATATTATGTAATATTTTATTTTCCCCCCATTACATGTTAAAACAATTTTTAAAACAATTTTTAAAAAAAGTTTTGAGTTCCAATTCTATCCCTACCTCTCTCCTTCCCCTCCCTGAGATGATAAGCAATCTGATACAGTTTGCTATATATCTTTAAATGTCTGCTTGGACATTTGTGGCAAAATGACCCCAGGCAACTCCCAAACCAGGGGCTCTTCAGGGTTCTGCCAAGTCAAGTCAACAAATAACAGGCATTAGGCACAGGGGATACAAAGAAAGGCAAAAACAGTTCCTGTCCAGGAGGGGCTCACGGTTTAAAAGGGAAGACAACGTGCCAACAACTGGGACAAATTCGATATGTAGAGGCTTAGCTGGAGATAATCGAAAAGGAAAGCCCTTAGTACTAAGATACTAGGAAAGGGCCTTATAGAAGGTGGGATTTTAACCGAGGCGTGAAGGAAGCCAGGGAAGCCAGGAGATGAAGATGAAGAAGGAGGGAAGTGCAGCCATGGAGGACGACCAGTGAAAATGTCAAGAGCTAGGAGAGGAAGTGTTGGGAGAGGACCAGGAAAGTGTCACTAGATCATGGAGGTGAGGAGGGGGTAAGAAGACTGAAAGACTATAAGAAATCTCTCTCTCCCTCCCTCTCTCTCTCTCTCTCTCTCTCTCTCTCTCTCTTCTCTCTCTCTCTCTCTCTCTCTTCTCTTCCTTTCTCTCTTTCCTCCCCTCTTTCTCCTTCCTTCCTCCCCCAGGTAATGAGTAAGGTATAAGAGGACTGGAAAGGTAGAAAGTTTATGAAGGGTTGTAAGAGCCAAAGAAAAAGATTTTATATTTGAAAAAAAGCCTTTGATCCTAGAGAGTGATAGGGAACCACTAATATTTATTGAAAGGGAGTGGGGTGGGATGGGGAGCCTGCACCTTAGGAAGATCAAGGTGATTGTTGAATGGAGGATGGACTGGAGTAGGAAGAGACTTGAATTTGGGAGGTCAACGAGCAGGCTATGGCAACAGTCCAGGAATGAGATGAGGAAGGCTTGCACTAAGGTGGTGGCAGGATCAAAGGAGAGAAGGAAGAGGATAAGAGAGATATTGCAATGGTAAATGAATAGTACTTGGCAACAGATTGGATATGGGGGGGAGGGAGGAAGGGTGAGAGATAGTGAGGACAACATCCAAGTCGATGATACTGCTGCTAGTGTCTCTCCTCCAAAAGCTGTGCCTTGTGCTACTCTTTGCTCTCTTTTCTGTATTACTATTATCCAGCACAACACATTCTCAGTATGCTCTTAGGGTGAAAAAATCTATTTTATTACAGTATGTAGACCTCAGGGTACACAATCTCATTACTTGATTTCATTTAATTTATTTTAACACAATAAGGAAGCTTTGACATTTACTTTCAAATCCCCCTCCCAGTTCCCAACCTTAATTTTGCCCCTCAGTCCAAGTTAGAACTCTCTTCCCTCTCCCTCCCTCCTTCCCCCCATGTCTTTCATTCTCATTCTCTCTCTTCTCTCTTATTCTCTCTCATTCTCTCTCTCATTTTCTTCTCCTCTCCTCCTCCTCATTCTCCTCCTCCTCCTCCTCCTTCTTCTTCTTCCTCTTCTCTCTCTCTGCCTCTGTCTCTCTGTCTCTGTCTCTTTGTCTCTCTCTGTCTCTCTCTGTCTCTGTCTCTCTGTCTCTCTGTCTCTCTCTGTCTCTCTTTCTGTCTGTCTCTGTCTGTCTGTCTGTCTGTCTCTCTCTCTCTCTCTCTCTCTCTCTCTCTCTCTCTCTCTCTCTCTCTCTCTCTTCCCCCAAGTAATGAAAGAGCAAATTCCTTTCCATCTGGTTTCCCCAGGATTTCAGGGATGAGTTCAAGCTGGAATGAACACTAGGTAATACTCTGCTGGTCCTAATAAAGGTCTCTCTCTTTTTTTCCTGTGTTTTCTCTGCAATATCTCTTGTACTTGCCCCTACTCTCCCATTCCTAT